TGTACATAAGCATGTAGTTGAGTGCCCTTCACTCATCAAAACTCAAGAGCAGCATATGTGCTGTCCTAATTAACTGTAAAATGGTAGTACACTATCTCAGACATTCACAATTGCTGTACAGCTTTGCTTCTCATGGTGTGGTCCTTAGGCCAGCAGCATACTAGTACATCCCTTAGAGCTTTTTAGAAATCTAGACCCTCAGACTCAACCCCAGATATACTGAAATCTGCATTTTATCAAGGCCCTCAGGTGATCTCTATGAACATTGAAAGTTTGAAAACCACCATTCTGAATTTGTGGCACATGATGCCATAGAAGTTACATGTTTTAGACTTTCCTAGTTATATCATTTTTTTCTTCCTTAGCTCAATATATATATCTTTCAATAAAGATGGATCAATAGACTTCTAATATGTAGATGCCTATTTCATTTGGTGTTAAAACTTCATCTTCTAGAAACCTTCCTTATCAAAATGTCATAATGTTTTAGTCAGACTAGTCCAGACTATAGACTAGTTTCAACTGAGTCCTTGGCCTTTGGAAAATCTAAATACCTAGCATCCAACATCTTGACACCTTGGCCCTACTTAAACACTTTAACTTTTTACCTTAACCTCTGTTATTGATACAAACTGAAGACACTGGTGTAAGTCTTAGTATAAATCCTGAAATTTGAGATCAGGTGGTTCAGCTTCATCTTCCTGAAGAACACGTCCAGCCTCCAGGGCCACAGATTTTCACTTGTCTCCAGCAAGCCCAAGAAGAGGGCCAGGGACCCAGAGATGCAGTGTCATCACCCTGGAATTGGAGGCTGACCTTAGCCAAGTTACTTAACTTTCCTGTGCCTCATTCCACATCTGCACTCCAGCTACCAAAACTCCACTGCGTTCAATCAGCACTGCGCTCTGGCCCACATGGCTGCTGCCTCGGGGGGGGGGGGGGGTAGGGGGGAGAGGGGGGTCTTTGTGTGTCCTTATCCTAGCCAATCCTTTTTCCAGATTTCCCCATGTATGTCTCTTCCCTTTTATGCTTACAGTTTTGTCTTCAACTGTGTAAGCACTTTGTGAAAGGACCCTCACCACCCTCATCCCCTGTGCCATTAGTCCTTTCTCCCTCCCCACATTAGTGTGATGGACTCCCTGGGGTGTCTATAAATCTTCTTGCCTACTCTGATTCCTAGAGCGACTGTAGAATTGTTCTTATCTAGTTAATCCTGCTTTTTCCATTTGCTCGTTTCCTTTGTGCCAATATCTGACTGCCTTCTATAACAAGATGACAGCTTGTCTATAGTACCATCACTAAGAGTGAGAACCACTTGCTCATGAACTTTATTGGGCCTTCATAGCCTGCTCAGGCCTGCCCCATATACACCTGGGCCTGCCCAACCTAAGGATGAAGTAGAACAGACAGCACTCAGTTAATGGATAACTCAGATACGTGATCACTTGGTGACTCACAATCTGTGTTCAGTATCCATCAGACCTTAGGAGGAAGTCAGAAACTGTTTCCTGACTTGTCAAAAAGGACATAGTTTCATTCTCAAATGCCAGAGGCCTATGCTGAGATTCTTTTCTTAGAGCTTAATATAAGCCCCATAAATAATTCTAACCCACACAGACATTTTGAGTATCATATCTGCTGTGTCAAAAGGGTGAAACTAAAAATGAGCAGGCGGTGTTTCCACACAGGCTGTAAATGGGTCATAGTGGACCATTCAAATGTGATTTATAGATTTATAGTAACTCCAAAATTATGAATGAGCCAGTCTTTAAAATAGGGGTTGGAGGGGAAAGGTGCCTGTGATTTACTTTTTATTTTGGAGAAGTTCTCCTAAACTTGATTGTGTTAGTTTTCTATTGCTGCTGTAATACACTACCAGAAATAACACAAATGTATTATGGTTCTGTTGTCAGAAGTCCAACACAGGTCTCACTGGGCTAAATCCAAGGTGTTGTCAGGGTTGTATTCTTTTCTGGCTCCAGAGGATAATCTGTTTCTTTACCCTTTTTAGTTAGCATCTAGATGGCTGTTCTCCTTTCATGGCTCATGACCCCCTTTCTCCATGTTCAAAGCTGGCAACATCACATCAATCCAACCCTCTGCCATCATTACAACTTCCTCTCTGTCTAACTCAGCCATAAAAAATTATGTGTTTTAAGTACTCTTGTGATTATATTGGGCCTGGAAAGGTACCCTGGATAGTCTCTCCATCTGAAACCTCATATCCTTAGTCATGTTTTCAGAGATCCCTTTGCCATATAAAAACATATTCACAGGCTCCAGGGATTAGAGTGTAGATATCTTTAAGGGACAGACATTATTCTGTCTACCATAGTGATTAATCCTGATAGTGGTTCTTTGGAGATATAACTCCATAGACCACCTGTCAGTTCCCAGATGACTTTTTGTGGAGGCTTCCACCACTTTCTTTTCTTTCTTTAATTTAAAATTAAAGCTACAATCCTGCCTTCCTGGCTTTACCAGTCTCTCTTATTCTTCCCCACTTTAAAAAAAAATTCTATTTATTAATTCTAAAAATGTTATATAATTTATTTATCTGTCATGTTCACTGAGTAAGTATTTCCTACTAAAATAAACAGCTCTATGAAGTCAGGGGTTTTATTTTCTTTTTTCTGATTCACACTATATCAGTGCCTGGCACACACAAGTTCTTAATAAATATATATTGAATGAACAAACTACAGAGAAATTCAAACTCAATGGCTATGCAGTATTTAAAGAATGGGCATATGAGAACATCAGGGGCAGAGACCTGGAAGTAGGTGAACACATCAAATTTGAGACCAAGATTGACCACAGCAGGGTATAGAAGCAGTGGGAGATTGAAAAGAAAGCCAAGGAAAGATGGACTTCAACTAAATCCATGCTTTTTATATAGAAGAAATCATCTAAATTAAAAACCAAACTTCTAGTAAAAAAAACTGTGGGATTCTGTGCTTGATCTGAACTCTCAGATATCACTGTCAATAATGAGGACTGTTCCTGAGTTCTGTATAATTAATAACCTTCTTCCAGTATTAGGTCAAAAGAGAAAAAATGTAAATAAAAAGATGCAAGCATGACCCAGATGATGCTATAAAATCAACATAATGTATTTAGGGAAAAGGAAAAACACACACACATCTAGATTTATAATATAATCTTAGGCAAAAAATAAGCAAAACAAAAGCAAAAAAAGAAAAGAAAACATAATTGAACAAAGAAGAAAAGGTTGTAAGGAACGCAGACTTTGATGGACAGTGTAACAGGAAATGAAAAATCTAGTGAAAAGGTTGGAAGATGTTTGACATTAACAGTACAACAAAACCTATGAGGCAAATTTGATTAAAAATATTTTGAATGCCATTTTTATTCTGTGTTGTCATTATTTCCACTATACTTACTAGAAAAAATGTCACTTTCCTTGTTCTGCATGTTATTGGAATTATAAAGCCCTGGGGTGACAAAACTCATTCCCCTTCTCTTATTTGTTCAGTACAATGCAAACTCTACATTGCAACAAGCACAAAAGATCCTCTCACTAATCATCTTTATGCCAACGGGAAAGACCTGGAATGATAATCTTGTGGATGGGTTATCTGCCTGGAATTCATAAACAGGTCAATGACCTTCTGAAATTCTATAGAACATTTTGTGAATATCTGTGTACATAATTTTTTCTGAAGGTAGAGTTCACACTTCCCATTATAGTCTTGAAAACATCTATGATACCCAAGATGTTCATGATTACTAGGATGGTCAACTGTCTCTACTTGCCTGGACCAAGGAGGACTTTGCTGGGTATAAGACATTCAGTTTTAAAACTAGATAACATCCTGGATAAACTGGGATAAATTAATCACCTACTGACCAATCCTTTTATATATAATACCTGGAAACCTAAACCCAGGAGAGTGGCTTGGATTCCCAAAGATTCCAAATTTGCTAGAAAAGCTGGGGACTCGGTTTTTTTGTCTTTTTCACATGAATAGGTAAATCACATGTCATAATCTTTGCCTTTCTATAGTCATACCATTTCATCCTCCAAACTGTGGAATATAAAACAGTTACCACAAGCTGTTCTATATTTTACTATACATAGTCTAAATTTCATTATACATTTTCTCTATATAAGAACATATATGTTCCATAAATTCTATATATAAATACAGAACCACAAGTATTTAGAGGGAAATCTGATATAAACAAACAGACATGAAAAAATATGGTTTGAAAAGAAAGTTTTAGCAAGATTCTACCCTGTCTAGTTTTTCAAATTCAGCACCTAACTGCAAGGTTAATTATAGATAAACTAGAAAATGTGTCCGTTACTCTGCTATTAAAAGAGTTAAATGTCTACTTTGACTGGGTTTCATTACAGAAACTAATTTTCAACCAGAATGTGAATTCTGAAGTAAGTTTGAGTACTGTGCCATTTATTGCTATTGATGTACTCACCGACAATGGCATCCTCCTAAATCATATTTAATAGGATAGAGTCTACGTTTTTCAACATGTGGTTTTCTTATTCATAGAGAGGCTGTATCATGATAAATATGATCTTGGAGTAGTAGTTTGGTTGTTAGGCTGACACACATGTGACAGTACTGAGGTTTCAATTATCCACTTGCATCAATCAATCTTTTAGTTTTCAACACTGTTGCCTGCAGTAATGTCACAGCTTTTCTGTCAGACAGAAGAACTTTTTGGGAAATGTTATTCATTACAGCTGCAAATCTGTCACCGTGCCTGGCATGGCTTGTTAATGACAACATTTATTTCAAAGAGCCATGTTTCGCTTTGTTGCAGGAGAGTTGATTTTGTGATCGTAAAATATAATGAAATGCCAAGAAGATGAAGTGAACAAAGTTTTCCAAAAATATACTAAAGTGATTCAAATCTGTTTTTTTTTTTAAAGAGTACATTTGCATGCATATTTGTATGCCCTTACTAGTATTTTGTAAACAGGAGGACTGTTTTTGGGCTGGAAACTGATCAAAGTTTGCTCTTCCTCCCTGTGTGGAGATAAGATTCCAGATGGACACAAATTAATTAGCCAGGCTTGAATGAAACAGAAAATGTTTAGTGACATTGCATTCTATTTTGAAAACCTAGTGTCAGTGCATAAGAATGACTCATGAAAACCAATATTCTTACTATAATAATTTGTGTGATATTTTAAAAAAATTGTGTGATAAAAAAAGGATATAGGTAAGCAAGGTGAGTGATAGAAAAAAATGGAAGAAAATTCAATATAAACTGAAAAATTAATCTCTGGTTTTGTCAATAGCTAGACTGACATATAGGTTGCTCTGAAGTAACAATAACATTGCTGATCATAAAGCTTCTTTTTTAGGCAAGTAGATTAGGGGAAAATGCCATAGCTTTTTGTGAGCCCATTTCTCCATTCCTTGAACCTAAGCTGGCCTTGTCACTTGTTTTGACCAATAGACCACAAGAAGCAAAGTGGAACTGGTTTTAAGTTGGGGCCTTAGGAGGCCTTGCACACTTCTTGCTCTCTTGAGCCCATCCACCAAATGGGGCTGATCTGTAAGACAGCTCATAGGTGAGCCTGAATGATCTTAGCCCAGCCAGCCCTTATGCATCCAGCAGCTGAACAAAGAGCCGGGAGTGAACCCAACCTAAGTCAGTAGTCATAGCAGAGGAGCTGCCAACCCACAGATTCATGCATTAAATGATTTGCCCCTGCTCTAATCCTTTATCAGAATGCTTTATCACTCATTCTCTTTATTTGGAAGATGAGGGTTCTGAATCAAATGTTCTTTCATTTGGTTTCAAGGTTTATTTTTTAGTGAGTCATGAGAACCAAGCTGAAAAGATGACACAAGGAGATCAAGACTGCAGATATGATATAAAAATTAATAATATATTCTGAGAAATTAAAATATCTATAAATATATAAGTGCTATTGTCTATCTCATCTAAATTTCACCTGATTTTCTTTTCTGTGTATACCTCTTCATGATATCTATTTTCTAAAAATCTTTATTGGTTTCCTTTTGCTTATAGCGTAAATTCTAAACTCCTCAGGAGGTGAATCTTTTCTTTTGGTTTTATTGAGATATAATTAACAAAACATTGTATAAGTTTAGGATATACAACATAAAAATTTGATATATGTATACACAGTAAAGCAGGTGAAAGTTTGTGTACTTTGAATTTTCTATGTTAAAACCCTACTCCCCAATGTGATAGCATGTGGGGGGATGCTTTTGGGCAGTAATTAGAATTAGATGCAGTCATGAGGGTGGGCAGTTCTCATGAATGAGATTAGTGACCTTAGAAGAGTTACAGAGAGCTTGCTTTCTCTTTTTGCTCTTATAAGTAAGGATATATATATATATTCTGGGTTGCAACTGAACTTTATATATATATATATATATAAAGTTCAGTTGCAACCCAGAATTCAGCTATCACCAGAACCCAACCATGCTGGCACCCTGGTCTTGGACTTCCAGCCTTTAGAACTATGAGAAAAAAATTCTATTATTTATATGCCACCTAGTCAATGGTCCTCTGTTATAACAGCCTGAATAGACTAAATCATCAAAACATATAGGTCCACTAGGACACTTGTTCATTTCTGAATATGCTGAGGTTTATCATATCCCTTGGGCTTTATATAAGCTCTTACATCTTCTTTAGATATACTCTTCCCCCTCTTCTTCACCTGGTCTATGACTACTCATTCTTCAAAGCTCACTTGAAATATCATCTTCTATGTAAAGTCCCTTTAAGTCTCCCAGTTGGGGATTTTTTTTTATATTGATACTAGAGGCCGGGTGCACAAAATTTGTGCACTCAGGGGGAGGGGGGTCCCTGAGCCTGGATTGTGAAAGGGCACAGGCCAACCCGAGGGACCCCACTGGTGCATGGTTGGGGCCAAAAAGGGACATGGGAGGCTCGCCAGCAGGGGAGGGACCATAGCAGGGCTCCAGGTTATGTTCGGCCTGTCTAGCTCAATCCTGATTGGCTGGACCTCAGCAGCAATCTAATCTACCAGTCAGAGCATCTGCCCCTTGGTAGTTAGTGAACATCATAGTGATTGGTTGATTGGTTGACTTTCTGCCCCGTGGTGGTCAGTGCACATCATAGTGAGTGGTTGAATGGACTTAGCATATCATTAGTATATTATGCTTTGATTGGTTGAATGGCCGACCGAAAGACCAGGAACTTAGCATATTAGGCTTTTATTATATAGGATTTTTTATTATAACTGCTATTACATTGGAATTTTTTTTGTCTATATGGGTATTTCTTCTCTTAGATTATATAATCTTAGAAGTCTTAAGGTATTAGGGAGAAAAAATAGTTATCACCTACACTAACTTAGCAAAAAGATATGCATCTTAATAATTACATGCAAGAAAAAAAAAGAAATAATTGATTGCCTTTTAGATGTTGTCCAAAGAGCTTTCTGAGTGCAATATAAATATCATATTTTAGTTTTTTGTTTTTTTTTTAACAATCTCACTGATTTGTCTTACACATATTGGTGATAAATGCTAGTAATACGGCAATAGTATATTAAAGGTACAGTTCAGTAGACATAAATAGACTATTCCCACATACTCCCCAGATCCTAAAAACACCAAATATTCTTTCTCTCAGCAGAAAAATATTAAAGACTGAAGGAAATTTAAAGCATTAGCTTCATTAGCAGTGATAACTGTTTACCTACAGAGAATGTCTTGAATACATTTAAAGCTGGAAGATTATTATCAATTGATTTGTCATCTTCCAAGAGCTTGAGTAGTTGAAGTTCTTTAAACTTCCCTTCCAAAATAAATAAATAAATAAATAAATAAATAAATAAGTAAGTAAATAAATAAATAAATAAAATAGTGGAAGAGCTGCATTATGGTTGCCTGCTAATTTTCTTGGGATAAAAATATGAACTCACTTTGTGTAGGCATGCTGATTGTAATCTATTGAGCAGCAATTAAAGAGTAATATTGGTCTTCATTATAAAGAATGTTACAGAGAACTTTGACTAACACAAAGAATTTTTGAAACACTAAACAGAGTCCCAGCCCATAGTACATTTTCTCTGAAGAAAAAGTTTTATAGAAACTCATATGCAAAAGAAATGAGGTTAATTTCTTTTTTATTAAAAAAAATAATGAAGTAACAATCATAATATAAGAACCTGACTAAAAGGAATTTAATCAGGCCAGAAGGGAATGGAATGAAGTATACAAAGTGATCGAGCCTAAATGGGCAGTCAGACATCCCTCTCACAATCCAGGACTGCTGGCTCCCAACTGTTCACCTGCCTGCCTTTTTGATTGTTCCTAACCGCTTCTGCTTGTCAGCCTGATCACCCCCTAATCATTCCCATGCCAGCCTGATTGATGTCTAACTGTTCCCCTGCCAGCCTGTTTGCTCCCAACTTCCCTCCTCTGCTGGCTTGGTCACCCCTAACTGCCCTCCCCTGCAGGGTTGATTGCCTCCAATTGCCCTCCCTTGCAGGCCTGGTCCCTCCCAACTACCCTCCCCTGCTGGCCATCTTGTGTCCACATAAAGGAACGATCTTTGACCACATTGGGGCAACCATATTGTGTGTTGGAGTAATGATCAATCTGCATATTACTCTATTATTAGATAAGATATAGGCCTGCAAGGGTGGGGGTCAGCTGGTTTGCCCTGAAGGGTGTCCTGAATCAGGGTGGAGGTTCCCTTAGGGAGTGGGACAGCCTGAGCAAAGGGCCTGTGGTGGTTTGCAGGCAAGCCAAGCCTCACAGCTACTCAAGTGAAGACCCTAGCATCTGGGATATATTTACTTTCTGTAATTGAAACTTTGTACCCTGGAGCAGAGCCAAGCCTCCTGCTCACTCAGGGGTGGCAGCCATTTCTGTTTGGATTTGTTTACTTCTATAATTGAAACTTCATAGCTTTGAGTGGAGGCTTAGGCCTGCAAGGGCAGGGGGAAAGCTTGGCTTCCTCTGTTGCCAGGGAAACACCTCCCTCCTGCTCTCTGTGGCTGTAGCCATCTTGGTTGGGTTTATTTGCATACTTGCTCTGATTGGCTGGTGGGCCTGCTTGTGGGTGTGGCTTGTGGAGTGAAGTGATGGTTAATTTGCATATTACTATTTTATTAGGTAGAATTTTTTCCTCATCAGTCATTAACTTAAGTGTTTATTTCTTCTTTCTTTCAGTAGCTTGGGGATCTCTTGATTGTAGAAAATGTCCTATTTATTTATGTATCCACTTCTTCAATTTCTCTTATATGCCATAAATGATATTCAAAAAAATTCTGATTCCAAAAATAAATAGCAATAACTGATCCATCAATTTTCTACTGACTATGTTTAATTTTGCCACCTCTTTTCATAAATCCTGACCATGTTTAATTCTGCCACCTCTTTTCTAATTGTCTGTCATCCCCGAGTATTTTGGAGGAATCAGCTTTATATTACCAGTATAAGATGAAAAATACTCCCAGCCCCTAAAAAAATTCACATGAGCCTGTGGGGAGGTAAAATGTCAATAGCAAACATAAGGATTAGATTATTAATGGAAAGCTTGATTTTTTTAAAAAAATAGCTAACATACTACTTTTGTGAATGATACTTTGGGCTAATATATATTCAGTAATACCAAAAGTAACACACAGGTTAAATGATTTGTTCGGGTCTCCTCTGGCTACATCCAAGAGTCTCTTGATTCCACTGCTTCATATTTGAGCATGCCTCACTTAAAGACAGGAGCTGTGCTCAGGATTTGACTGAATGACAGCTATCTATTGTCACCAGACCATTTAAAAGTGAAGTACACTTGCTGCCAACTGTCAGTGCCAGATGCAATGGCAAAGCCCTATAGGATTGCTGACAAATGGCATTGATTTAATTTCTGTGAAGCCTCAGTAATTTACACTAATAGGGAGTGGACCAGCCTGAAAAGTGAGACATCAGAGGTATTCAGGGAATGTTCATAAGAAATGCAATTCCTTAACTTTTCGGTTCATACTGTTGCACAAACTTGGTTAAAAAATGGTTCAGAGGGCATCTGCACTAATGAGCAGCTGAATGGTTGATTGGCATACTTACTGTATGTTTATAAACAAGTGGAGAACTAAAGATGGAGAATTGACCCATATAACTAAACCAGACATTTCAGTGACCCTCTGTATTCTGAAATATTAATATAGTAAAGTGAAATTATTTAGGGATAAATATATGTTTTTTTTTAAAGAAAAACTCAAACTCTTGGACTTATGGGGGTTGGGTAAGCAACTGCTATTCAGTAACACTTTGAACAAACTGACAAAAAGGAGAAAATTCAAACATAACAAAAACTCAGAAGTTTTTATTAACCTGAAGCTTAATATGAAGCAACAGTATCATATGGCTGCTCCCTTGAAATAAATTGTAAAGTTATGTTAACAGAAGAGTATCAGAGCAGAAGTAGTAGGCTTAGTCTCAGCATTAGTGAGAGCTTGAAATTACACTATTGAGTCCAGTTTGGGATTCCAGAAAGCACAAGAGACACTGGCATCTGAGTGCAGTTCCAGAGGAAAATGAGTGGGCAGTGAGGAGACAGGGGACCATCATCTACAATGCAGAAGCGGGATACATGTTTTCTAGGCTAGGGGAACTTGTGACTACAATAGCATGATTTATCACGTGGGAGAGTTGACTAGATGTCTTGTCTTTGTCTACATAAAGCACAACCAAGGCAAACGTGTAAAAGTAAACGAGAGGCAGTTACTAGCAAAATATAAAGAACTTTCTAACAAGTTGAACCATTTGAAATTGGAATAGAATGCCTTTGGAGGATAGTGAATTGTCAAAGATTGAAGTGATTAAAGCAGGAATGCTGGAAGATACTATAGAGGATGTTCAACTGTGGGCTCAGTTATTTTTACTAACTAGGAGACAGTTATTTTAACAATCTCAAAGTTTTCATTTACTAACAAAATCCATTTTTGTCCAGTTCCCCTCTGTCATGTTTGACCTGGCCATACATGATAAACTTCCAGCTTTCCATTCCAGCTGTTTCCTGGTCTTCCTGCAGTTTCTACTCTCCTCCTGCCTGAGCATGAGCCTCATGAACCTTATTGGGTCAGGCCTTTCTGACAGAGTCTCTATCCGTGTCTGATGGTGGTAATTTAGGAAAGAGTAACAATCTCATATGAGACTCCAGTACCAACCTGTTTTTCAATTCAGTTTTACTCATACTGTTCTTGTTATTTTACCATCAAGATATTACTGAGTGGGAAAATAGTATAATGGATGAGTGTCAATTTGGGAGCGAGAATGGAACTGGTTTAAATCCATGTGACCTTGGGCAAGTTACATAAGGTGTATGTATTGATACTTCTGTTTTTGTTCTTTTCACCTGTAAATAGGGCATAATAGAAGTACTCATCTCTGGTTGTGGTGATTATAAAATGACTTAATTTATGTAAATCATATTGAATCAAACTGTCACATGCTACGTGTTAGTATTATTTTGGACTCAAAAGTTCAAATTTGAGTTGGAGGAATGGTGACAGGTAGAAAATAAAGAGCTACTGTGGGTGTCGTGTGGGAGGCCAGGGTTAGTGTATGAAGGGGGCGATACATGCTCTTAAGTTGTGAATAGCAGTTTTTCAGGTAGACAAAGTGGGGATGCGGAATGAGCATTGCTTCCAGGAAGGGTGAGAAATGTGGAAAGGGACATGAATGCAAAAGGAGAGGACAGGTCCAGGTGAGGACACCTGGCAGGAGGCCGATGGGAGCAGATGATGCTGAAGAATCCTGGAGGGCTTGCTGCTTGACCCCACTTTGTCTTTTTGGAGGTTGGTACTGAACTGTCCCAGCAGCACAGACAAAAAGCCTTGTTCAGAAGAATTGGCAAGCTTTCTATGTTAAAAGAAATTTAGTAATTACTATAGGCATTACAGGCCACTGCATTTTTGTTCAACAACTAAAAATGTAATAATTAGGCTCAGTTTAAAGGCTACACACAATTAGACGGTGGTTCAGGTGTTAGGTGGCAGTAACGCTTATTGTAAAACAAAGAGTTAAGAAACTGAAGCGGGGGAGGAAATGGGTACAGAAAACAAATTAAGAACCAATGTATAATCCTGAGCTTAACTTCAAATTAAATGAGCAGGCAAACATTATTCATAGAGGACAAAAAAAAAAATCAATGAGGTACCAACCGTCTTCTTCAGAAAGTGAATGAGGCAAAAATGGACTACTTTCCCTTTATTGAGTTTCAGTGCTGATGGAATCCTGTTGACTTGTTGATGGTAATTTTATTAGCTTTCAACATCAATTTATTTATTTAATCAGGGTCAGTGTGTCTTACACACCTGACTGAGTCCAATGTGACCTATGACCCAGAGACAGCAGAGGGTGGATCTGTTAGTAGTGCCATGAAATCTGATGAGTCATGCACAGAAGGTAAGGTAGTGCACCAGTTATCTTTAAAGCACACATTTATTTACAAATGAAAATGAATTTTTCTCCCTTTCTATATACATACTTATTTGGGGGTAGGGAAGGAAAGGTATATAACAAATTTAGCTTCACTTAATTTCTCACCTGGAGGTAACTGTTCATCATGACTCAGGGCATATATTATATTTATGGACTCTTTTAAATGTACTCACACCTACTTGTACTGTGCACATACCCAAACATATACAAGTACACATATATTTTCATACTAACAATGCTGTTATGTTAACTTTTATACTCTTCTGTTGGTTCAGAATAAAGAATGTGGGGAATGCCCTGACTGGGTTGGCTCAGTGGATAGAGCATTGGCCTGTGGACTGAAGGGTCCCAGATTTCATTCTGGTCAAGGGCAGGTACCTTGGTTGCAGGCACATTCCCAGTAGGGAATGTGCAGGAGGCAGCTGATCAATGTTTCTCTCTTATCGATGTTTCTAACTCCCTATTCCTCTCCATTCCTCTCTGTAAAAAATCAATAAAATATATTTAAAAAAAAGAATGTGGGATACCACAGCTTTTTATTGGGTGCCATAATTTAGAAAGACATGAAACAGTTGAGAAGTATGGATGATCCTAATCAGAGAGAAAATTATATCACAATAGAGTTATTGATAGATTGATTAACACTTGGGCAAATACAATTTCTAGGTGGTTCAATAGGTGGTCATATATGTTGGGGAAAATATTATTTTAAATTTTATATTTGCTGTGTAAAGTAAAAAGGGTTAAATTAGTGGAATAAAAACATGACTTGGTCATTAAGAAAATGTATTTTGTTCAACAAGCTACTGGAAACATAGATAAGATGAAGGAAGAAAGAATAGACAAACTTGAAATTCTTGAGAGAGGAAGGAG